GGCGGCCATGAAGTCCTGAGCTGCCCCAGTCAAGGGAGCCTCGGCATGAATGTTGAGGTCCCCCAGCACCAACAGCCTGGGAGTCCTCAACACCAGGTCCGAGACTACCTCCGTCAGCTCAGGCAGGGAGACTGTTGGTACGCAGCAGGGTGGGCGGTACACCAACAGAATCCCTAACCTGTCTCGCGAGCCCAACACACAATATTGGTGACACAAAGCTCCAAAACTTCTGATTATCTCCCCAAGGGCCTCGTATAGATATTAAACAGCAATGGGAAGATGACTGACCCATGGGACTCAACAACTGAGCATCCAAGGGGTGGACATCACCTCCCTAAGCTGCACTCTCTGAGGATGTTCCTCTAGGAAGGATCAGATCCAGGATAAAGCTAGGTTACCAATCCCTAACCCAGAGAACCTCCCCAAGAGACCATGGTCAATGGTATCAAAGACTGCTGAGAGACTGAGAAGAACCAACAGGGACATTTTGCCCCTGTCAGTCTCCCTCAGAAGGTCATTTTGCAAGGCAACTAATGCCATCTCTGTGCCATGATGTGGCCTGAACCCAGACTGGAATGGGTTGAGGGCATCAGTCTCCTCTAGGAGTGCCTGCAGCTGATCAGCTACTATGCTCTATACTAATTTGCTTAAGGATGGAATATTAGCAATGGGGCTGTAGCTGTTAATATTATCTGCCCCAATATTTTGTTTTTTACAGCTAGGTCTAATGAGTGTCTCCTTGAGGGCATGGGGAACCCAGCCCTCCTGGAGAAACCCATTAATGATGGTTATGGCCCAGTCCCTCATTACAGGCCTGGGTGTTTTTATGAGCCAGGTTGGGCAAGGTTCTAGGGAGATTGCAGTAGTTTTATAGTAAGCAAGCACCCTGTCAATCTCAGCTGACATCACTGACTGAAATTGTGTTAACGTCACCAAACAAGGCAGCGCAAAGGACATATGAACCTAAGAACAGCCCTGCTGCATCAGGCCGAGAGCCCATCTAGTCCAGCTTCCTGTATCTCACAGTGGCCCCACCAGATGCCCCTGGGAGCACACGAGACAACTAGATACCTGTCTCCCGATACCCCTCCCCTGCATCTGGCATTTTGAGGTACCGTCCTTTTAATCCTGAAGATTATACATCCCCATCGTGGCTTGTAACCTTCAATGGACTTTTCCTCCAGAAGTCTGTCTAATCCCCTTTTAAAGGCATCTAGGCCAGATGCCATCACCACATCCTGTGACAAGGAGTTCCACAGACTAACAGCACACTGGGTCAAGAAATATGTTCTTTTGCCTGTTCTCAGTCTCCCAACACTCAGTTTGAGTGGTTGTTCCCTGAGCTCAGCTCAATCTGCTGAGGAAAAGTGGTGGTCCTGGTGGATGGTCTCCACTTTGTGTTTGAAAAATGCTGGAAACAGGAAAAATGCTGGTCACAGGAAATACTACTGGGAGGCCTGTCACTGTGTCCAATCCTGGATAAATCACGTACTGTCCAAAATAATTCAGCCTGGTGGTTTTTAGCTTTGCTTATCCAGGCAGTGATGTAAGATCTCCTTATGTCCTTCACCTTGGCTATACTTGACATAATTTTTGCAGCCTTTAAATTAGATTCCATCGGGTCCTGCCTCCAAATGCTCTCCAGCTTCCTCCTATTTTGCTTTATCACCCAAAATTGTTGATTATACCATGAGACTGGACAGGCTCAGCACTGGGGGGTGTGTGTGTTTGCATGCGATTGTGTCAGCAGCCCTGGGCGCAGCAACATACCATTCTTCAACCAGAGATTTGACAGGAGCGCCAAAGAGATTATACTAAATGCTGCCTTTCTCCACATAGGGGACTAGAGATAGCTCACAGTCAGATTAAAACAATAATCACAATTAGAAACACTATAAGATATTACAATAAAACAAACCTATGATTTAAAAAATGTCCATCTTTAATTACTTTTTTTATTATCAAGGGACCTTGTTTAAATTTTGCAATGTTTAAAATTATCAGTGAGTCACCTTGAGTTCCGCCATCCAGGAGAAAGATGGGACATAGGTGCAATCAATAAATAGCAATATTAAAAATTATCATTAAAAACTCTTTTTAAACATTTTAGAAACAGTTTAAAAATCTCTAATTCAACATTCATAAATCACCAGTAAACACTTAAAAGCCAGCCTTAGAATGGAAAGACAACAGGGAGGAGGCAAAGCTGGCTTTTTGAGGCACTGCATTCCACAGCCTGAGAATAGTTGCTGAGAAAGTCCTTACTTGTGTCCTTACCAAATAAAACTGTGATTTACCATTGTCTTCTTCTGGGGGTGCCTTGGGACTGTGCAGCTTGCCCAGCATCACACAAGCTTTTGGGATGAAGAGTGGGAAATTGAATTCCCAACTTCTGGTTCCATAGCAAGATACCTAACTCACTGAGTTAATCACTGTAATTATTGTTGTTAAGACAGTGGTTTCCAATCTTGGGTAACCCAACTGTTTTTGGACTTCAACTCCCAGAAGCTTTCACTTCTAACTGTGCTGCCCAGGGTTGCTGGGAGTTGTAGCCCAAGAAAACCTGGGCTACCCAAGATTGGGAATCTGTGCTATATGATAATATGAGCTTGCACCGTAGTACAGAATATTAATATGTGAAGTAGTTCCCAGGGGGTTGTGTATGGAATTACTTACAAATATGGCATGATGTGCAGAGAATGTGCATTTGCATATAGACAGAGATGGCCTAAGAGAATGAGAAGGGAAGGTATAGTTTGGAATGGTATGAGTAAGAATCAAACAAAAAGACTGGAAATGGGAGTAAGAGAGGGCTATTAGGGAAAAGAAAGTTGAAAGAGTTGGTGTGGAAGTTGAGGGAAAAGCATATTTAAAGGGTTGGTACAATGATTTGCACCTGAATATTATTCACCTAGTAAAACTTGCTGTGAAGAAATTTTAAAATTCCTAGCAAGCCCCAAGTGTGCACTATTGCTAAGAATCTGATTGGGTCCATCTTGGAGGTACAGTTGTACCCTGCTTTACGACTGCCCCGCATTATGACGAAACCACATTACGACAATGTTTTTACGATCGCTTCTGCAATCGCAAAACGATGGTCTGAATAGGCTTTTTTTCGCTTTGCGATGATCGGTTCCCTGCTTCGGGAACAGATTCTTCACAAAACGACGATTTTCCTACAGGTGATTGGCAATTTCAAAATGGCCGAGGGGTAAATAAAATGGCTCCCCACTGTTTTCTGGGACGGATTCCTCGCAAGACAGCCATCGAAAATGGCCGCCGTATGGAGGATCTTCGCTGGACGGTTAGTTTTTAACCCATTGGAACGCATTAAACGGGTTTTAATGCGTTTCAATGGGTTTTTTATTTTCGCATTACGTTTTCATTCTAGAGCGATTTCGCTGGAATGAATTAACGTCGTAATGCGAGGCACCACTGAATGATGGTCACTCTCCAGTACCTATCCTCAGAGGGTTCAAAGGGACCTAGGACATCTCCCTCTTTCCGATGAGGCTCCGCGCAGGCGCAGATCACCCAGGGTGTGATTCACAGAGGCCACAAAGAAGAACTGTTTGTCTTCTGAAGATTCTGCTGGAAATCCCCAGGAACTGACTCAGGGGTTACATCCAAGTAAGGCATAAAAAGCTACACAAATGGTTAAGACCCAGTGCAAAGGTGGATAAATGTAGCAGTAATTGCACTGTCAGAAAGTTGTCTACAGCTATTCTAAGATCCTCTGAAAAAGTAGAATAGGCTATCTAGTTTTCTTATTTTATGTATGGTTTTTGTTTATCTGTTTTTTTACCTGTTCTTCTTTCCTAATTATTGCAATTCAGACTTCTTCTATTTAATTAGAATTGGCTTATTTATCCACAAGGATTTCTCTTTTGTAATTTCGCTCTTCTTATTTCATATTTTTAATAAAAATTGAACAATTTCAAATTATTTGCTTCCTGGAAGGTGGCAAATAGTATGGTCCTAAGTTCAGTGCTTAACCACTTGGACCTGCTACCCTACAATCTTTTTCATTCTTCTAAACACTACACCCACGCTTTCATCATTACCCTAGAGGATACATGACTGCATAGGAAATGTATGAGTGGAACAGTTAAATATACCACAATACACTTTATACACTTGATCTGAATAAAGAACAAACCTAATTCTCAACATCACCTAAACAGAAGAAAATGTGATAGTATCTTCACTTGCCCCATGGTGGTGAACTGGACACTAGCAGCCAGTCCTGAAGGGAAGCGGATTAGGTAAAAGGTAGTAGTCATTGGAAAAGGGCAAAGATTTCAACAAGGATCTACCTGAATCTCCCAACCCTGGGCAGAAACCCAGCCAATTTGAGGCAACTGACCTTTACCCCAGTGATCCCATTTCACATGACCCTCTGAAGAGGCCATAATGGGTGGATGGCTATAGGGTGGAGGAAGAGATGAGAAACTTACCTTTTATTAACTTTCTTAATTTATTGCAAGAGTAATAAATTGCACTGTATACAACATTCCTGACTGCTCCAGTAAATGGAAACTATCACACTATCAAAGTTCACTATCACTTCCCCCTTAGGAGAATGGGGGCAAGGATGGCAAGGAAATCGGAGTCTGCATGCTCCTAATACACAGCATTAAGAACTAGATTCGCCTGCTGACATGACAACTTGGAATGTGTGGCATAGATAATTTAACAAGGCAGATTTAAAATATAGTGCTACATGGAAGGGTGCACTGCTTTCCACAAGCTTGCCTTTTATGAGGTTTATACATTCTAATCTGGAAATAGGACTATATCACAAGAGCAAATACAGTGATTAAATCTTACCATCTATGGCAGCTGTGTGGGTTTTTCCTGGGGCAATAGTTCGAATCTTATAGAAGGAGAGTTTCTTGGCCAGAGTGAAGGTAGTGGTATATGGAATTTCTTGGTAAGCCTATAAAAAAAGATCAAACAAGCCTGATAAGTATATATTGTCAACCTGTTAGTATACACAGTTTAGTCAAGAGCCATCCAGACAGAGTTCAAGTAAACCAAACTGCTACAAGTCAGTACTTTCTGCTAGAGGCAATTTCTGCCTCTAGCAGAGCAGACCATCATTCTTGTCAGAACAACAGCAACAACAACAACAATAGTAATTAAAAAAACTAGGCACAGTCAAAATTATAAAAACATTGACTGGTATTATATAACAGATACAAGTTTTAACCCAAAACCTAAGAAACTGTTAAGTACCTGTTAAATATTGGTGCAGTATGTGTGCTGTCCTTAATATTGGCGTTTTTTGTAGCTCTAACGGTGGTGTGATTTCTGAGATCTGAAACTGCTTATAGTACTGTGTAAAATGTCTTGATATTGTTCCCAAATCCCCAATGGCTACGGGGACCACTGAAGTGTGTTTCTTCCAGAGATGTGATGTTTCGATTGGCAGGTCTCTGTACTTCGTTAGTTTTTCCAATTCTTTATTTTCAACTCAGGCATCCCCTGGAATTGCAATGTCAATGATCCAGACATTTCTTCATCCTGTTACTACAATGTCTGGTGTGTTATGTTCAAGGTATCTGTCCGTTTGGATCCGGAAATCCCACAAGATCTCAACTTCTTCATTTTCTGACATCATCTACCTGATGTTCTCATGGGTTTTTGGATACCGGCAAAGTTTTGTTTGTTTGAGCAAAGTTTTGTTTGTTTGTTTGTTTGTATAATGACCAGTGCACTAACTTTGTCACTCTATCATGTCCAACTGTAATCTGTTTGTGCTATCTTTGGACATTCACAGATCAGGTGTGACAGAGTTTCATCTTTTTCTCGGCAGAATTGATATTTGCTGTTAGTACTAACCTTTGGATCTTAGCTTTCATCACGTTGGTTTGGAGTCCTTGTTCTTATGCAGCAAAAATAAAGCCTTTGGTTTCTTTCTTAAGGGTCCCCAGTTTTACCCATGCCCATGTTGAATTATGATCATGCTTTCCATCAATATTTCTCAAGTGTTGTCCATGTAGTGGTTTACTTTTCCAGCTGTTGCTGTTTTTGTTGTTATATGCAAAATGTAGCTATATTAAAATTGAAATGATGACTCATATTAAGAGTCCTGTTTTCTTTTCTCTTCAGAGTTCTAATTTGATAATCAGTAAATACTATTCAAGAGAACAAACCTATCCATTCTAAAGGAAATCAACCCTGAGTGCTCACTGGAAGGACAGATCCTGAAGCTGAGGCTCCAATACTTTGGCCATCTCATGAGAAGAGAAGACTCCCTGGAAAAAACCCTGATGTTAGGAAAGTGTGAAGACAAGAGAAGAAGGGGACAACAGAGGACAAGATGGTTGGACAGTGACAGCGAAGATACCAACATGAATTTGCCCCAACCCCAGGAGGCAGTGGAAGACAGGAGGGCCTGGTGTGCTCTGGTCCATGGAATCACAAAGAGTCGGACATGACTAAACGACTAAACAACAACAAAATACTATTCATGTATTATTGGATATTATTAATAATCAATTCCTATTTATTAATAAATGCATCCTCTACATCGGTGTCCTTGCCATTTTCAAGATAACATAGCCCCTAGTTTTCTGCACAATACCATTTTTAAGAGAATATCATGCCCCTTGTTTTCTACACAATACCAAAACTGCATTTCCAAAACTCACATCATGATTAATGATCCCTGAAGTGCATTGGTTTAAACCCAACTTGTTGAATTCATTCAGACCACAGGCCAACACCTTGCCTGTCTGTGTGAGCAGAAAGGTTCCATCACTGCCACACTGAACTGAAATAATATTGGAGGCTTTCTGAATTTCCACCTATAGAAGAGAAACATAAGACAGAACAGCAATTGAATGTGAGAGTCCAGTAGAGCAGCAGTCCCCAACCTTTTTGGGACCGCAGATCAGCTGAGCCTCTGAGGAAGGTGGGGCACCCCACCCCTTTGCACATGTGCAGGAGCGCCCGCTTGCCTGCCCACCCCTTCACGCAGGTGCTCGGGCAACCCTGTGCTTGTGTGGGCACGCGGGCGCGCTCGGGCGCATGCATGAAGTGATGGGGAGTGCACATGCGCCTGCCAGCACCAGTGTGAGTGCTCCGCCACCCCTTTGTGTATGTACAGGAGTGCCTGCATGCCCGCCCACCCCTTCACGCAGGTGTGCAGGCACATGTGTGAAGGGGCGGGGATGCGCATGATGGCACTGGCACACTTGTGTGTGCGCAAAGCAGCTGTGGGGAGGGGAGTGTGTGCGGGGGTGGAAGGTCTTTCGCCATGGGCCAGTCCAGCTCAGGCTACAGACAGCCACCAGGCTGCGGACCAGGGGTTAATAATCTCTGCAGCAGCGTATAAAGCAGTGAGGATCTTCACTTGGTGGCAAAGAATATGCTTGACGTGCAAAAACTCACAGATTTGGTTCCTTGCATTCTTGGGATTTGAGAGGGGAAATGGAAGTAGGGGAAAAACTCCCATCCCCTCATTTTCTAAAGGGAGGGACCATGGAATAGTGGTAGCATTGATGTTTTATATACAGAAAATCCCAGATTCAATCCATGCAAAATTCCAGCCAGGAAAAGGATCAGGCAACAAGTGATATTAAATTCCACTGCCTAAGACAGTGGAGAGCTGTTCTTTATCAGAGTAAACAATTTTAGACTAATGGTCCAATTTTATATCAGGCAGTTCCTTATATTCCAAAACAGAGATCCAAATCAGTGTTAACCTTGGTAATAGATGAATATCTAGATTAAGAAAAGTGGCCCATACACTTCAGGGGAAATTAAAGTTAACTTTATAAAGTGATGATCTTGAAATGATGACCTTCTGATATCCTATTTCTAATAAGTGACCCCTATCACATATGTGGTCTTAACACACTGTTACAATGTTAGAACAAATGTCTTAAGAGTGGACATACTCCAGAACAGAGACATAATGAATCTGCCTGGAACCCATGAAATACAGAGTCAAGGAAGGGTCAATCAGTTTTACCCTCTGAGGGAGGTAGTGATCCTCTTCTGAATCCAAACCTAAGCGGCCTGTATTTGAGAAAAGTCAGAAAAGAGAAACAGCATTTTAAAAAAACCCAGCTGATTCCTTGCTGAAGACAACAGTATAACATCTCATGATTGGCTGTCTTTCCAAACTATAGGCCATCTCTGTTGGCGACATTGCTAAACAGCCATTTCCACCATCACACGAGGCAAAGATACTGTTATTTGGAGAAGAGAAACAGATTTAATTTTAAGTCTATGTGAGGGGGATGCTCTGGTCATCTCTAGCAGGCCTCCTAATTTTGCCTCATGCCTCCAGCAGACCTGACAGAAACTTCAACTGCTGAGCACCAGGGGGGTGCAGAGAGGGAGATGGAGGGTCCAGGTGAGCAGATGAGATGGCTGTGCCCAATTAGCAGAAACCTGATTTAAGGGAGGAAGAGGAGGAATCCAGGGAGGACCCATTGCCCTCTACAAAGTCTGAACCTTAGGAGAGCGAGGAGGTGGCATAGGAGTTGGACTCCATGTTATTGTGCTCTGTGAGAGGCCAGCATCTTGACCTTAGAAAACCCAAGGACTGGGGTATGGTCCAGGATGAAGTTGCTGAGGGACAAAGGCACAGGGAAAATATGACCATATTCAGTGTGCTGACAGAGCTGACCTCCTGGAGGCCACCGAGACCAGCTGGGCACTCAGGCCCCACCCTGTCCCAACAGAGGCACCGAACAACACAGCACCTACAAGCCCTCCCTAAGTGGTGTCAGCTGGTTGAAGTCAGTGTTGAGGATTAGACCCCAGCCATGAAGTGTTGACGGCACGATGCCAGTGAAATTCAGGCTTGGGCGAAAACTGGACTTGGAAGGGGAGTTCGTAAAGTTAACTCAACCGCCCCTCGTGCAAACTGTCAGGAGCATCAGGCATCCAACCTTTCATTGTGCCCCATTCCCCTATTTTTAAAAAGTCCAGTTCCAGCCTGAGAGTCTTGACTTTATGGAACCCATGGCAGAGAAAGGCTTGCCTCCTAGAATCAGGTGGCAGCAGTCACAGTTTATCATTGAAACAGTTGCAGAAAGTGCATCCTGTTTGCCACCAGCAGTTACCAACACAGAAACTATCAACTGCCTTTCTATACAAACCCACTGTACAGTTCTTAGAACTTAAGAAGATGGGCTTGTGTCTTTTTCTACTAAGGCTCTTAATAATTTCCTACGCCTTGTCAATAGGATGTAGACAGGAAGTCACATACCATATTCCCCACAGCCCCATGTATAGACCTCTCGGTTCCGATTAAGCACCGCCACGTGATTATCTCCACAGGAAACCTGCTCCACAGGGTTGTTGAGGAAGAAATTCAACTGTCTGGGCTCCAGCACCTCAGAGCCAAATGCCTTGTCAACACCTATACAGCCATAGTAATCTGAGCCAAAGGCAAAGACTTGACCCTCATCTGCGTGAAAAGAAAGATCAAAACGCATCACATACAGGCAATTTTCTTATTGGATGTACTTAAGACTCCAAAGAATGCCTACTGGCAAAGCTCATTTTCAGTTTTTACAAAGAAAAACCAAATTCCAGTGCAACTTTGTTAGATCAAGCCATTTCAATAGAATATTAGTCACATTAGTACATGACTCTTATTGATTATAGTATGGGAAGCCTATTATCTGTACTGTACTGTGTGAACACACAGATATTGTCATCTTCAATCTTCTGTGACTATAAAATATCAATTATTTAATCTTTATTTTTGTGTTTTAAAGTACTGATTTTATGTTGCACATCACTCTGAAACCTAATACATGGCTGGTATATAAAAGGAAGGCTGGCTGGATAGCTCAGTGAATTAGGCATATGACTATGGAGCCAGAGGCTGGAAGTTTGATTCCCTATTGTACATTCCAGAAAAGCCAGCCTGCATCCTCCTAGGGCACCCCCAGAAGAATGGAATGGTAAACCAATTCTAAGTACTTGCTACCTGAAAAGGCAGTCATGTCAGAACAGGTTAGATGGCACAGAGCTATATAAAAGGAAAAGAAGAAGACTGACCATAGAATGGATTCACTGAACACAGGAAGTAGGGCCCTGAGTTTTACATATATATTTACATTAGGATAATATAATCCTAGGGCACCCCCAGAAAAATGGAATGGTAAACCAATTCTAAGTACTTGCTACCTGAAAAGGCAGTCATGTCAGAACAGGTTAGATGGCACAGAGCTATATAAAAGGAAAAGAAGAAGACTGACCATAGAATGGATTCACTGAACACAGGAAGTAGGGCCCTGAGTTTTACATATATATTTACATTAGGATAATATATATAATATTATAATGCCAAAACATTTATTGCTCTCTTGCTGGCAAAGGTTATTTTCTCTTCTAGTTGATACAGTATTAAGAGTTTTCACAGCAGGCATTCAAATACTGTATGTTTAATCTGCTTCTGACCTGTAATGCAGACAGTAAAGTCATCCCCACAAGACACTTGGTGAATGGCTTTGCCCTGCAGTTTTTCTACATGCTTTGGCTGACGATAGGACGCTTTGTCTCCATGTCCCAACTGGCCATGCAGTTTGGTGCCTCCTTGCATGTTCTGTAAAACACAGAAGTGTGTTAAAATATGTTAAAGGATACATAACCAGAGTTTCAAGAAATACTGCTATTAGCTCAGATGAGAAAAAACAAAGTAGGAAACAATTAACACTTTGACCTGGATCCAGAGACTCCCTCCACATATACAGTGGTGCCCTGCATGACGACGATAATCCATTCCAGGAAAATTGCTATTAAGCGAAATCGTCATCATGCGAAAAACAATTCCCCATTGGAATGCATTGAAACCCATTTAATGCGTTCCAATGGGGAAATTACGTTGTCGTCCAGTGAAGATCACCCATAAGGGAAGCCATTTTCCGAGCACCGATCAGCTGTTAAAATGGCTGCCCTGCGAAGCATGGGTCTGGAAAAGACAGGGCAGCCATTTTGCAGAGCCGGAAAAATCGTCGTTTTGCAAACAAACGGTTCGCGAAGCAAGGACCTAATTGTCGTCAAATGAAAATCCCCCATAGGAAACATCATTTTGCGATTGCTATAGCGATCGCAAAAAAGTCATCGTCATACAATTTCGTCATTACCCGGTGGAAGAAACCAGACTTTGCTACCCTTTAAACCAAGGCCAACTGACAGTTCAAAATAATTGTTGTTCTGGCAGGAAAGGAAAGAAGCATGTGTAGCCTTCCCCTTTCCTGCTGAATCCCCTTCCTGTTATGTTCTTTCTACAGGGCAACAGTGCCACATTGGCTCTGTAGTTGATGTCAAGGCTATAGGTTTGTGGAAATAATTTGCATTTCATTCCACTCCCATACTCAATCTTCTATAGTTCTTTCCAAGCACTTTACTTACCACCCAAGTATAGAGCTCCTTCTCCACCGTCACCAAAGCAAAATGGGTGTTTCCTGCACAGACTTGTCGTGCACTGCAGCCACCTTTAATCACATCCAGCTTCTGAGGAGTGGACTTCCCACCTCCCCATACATATACTTCACTAGTGCGTGAAGTCACCACAGCAATGGGAGCATCATTCATGGTGCTGGTTCTGTAAAACACAAGAGCCCAGCATACAGACTGTTTTCCACAACAGCTCTAACATAAGAACATAAGGAGAGCCCTGCTGGATCAGGCCAAGGGCCCATCTAGTCCAGCTTCCTGTATCTCACAGTGGCCCCACCAGATGCCTGTGAGAGCACATGAGACAACTAGATACCTGTCTCCTCCTGATATCCCTCCCCAGCATCTGGCTTTTTGAGGTACTTTCCTTCTAAGCCTGGAGATTATACATCCCCATCATGGCTTGTAACCTGTGATGGAATATTATGCTATTTGTAAATGCAAATGTGAATTAATGTAAATTCAGCACAAGTCTGTAGTGAAGGTAAGGCCAAAGTTGAAAACAAGAGCAGAAGCTAAAAGTTGAATTTATCTTAAATGTATTATTGCATAGTTTTTACATACAGTATTTAACACTGAAAATGAATTAAATATATTATTGTTTCACTGCTACTCTCATGTACTGGGTGAATAACTCTAGGAACCTATTGTCTTTAATTCCACCCTTCAGCATATGTTTCATTACCTTGGTCGTTTGTTTGGGCCATTAAGCAATGCAACTTTCTCCTCCATCTCCCTGCCAGGATAAAGGATAAACAATGAAAACAAAATTTAAATAAATCTATTATTACAGCATTCCAGACAAGAAATCCCACTATGATTTGCAAACAACCAGCAATAAAAACAATCACTTATTTTCATCAAATTTTACTGTGCCACTATTAGTTGTGATATATGATCAAATCTGCAGATGGCAGGATCTGTGGGTTAAGACTGCTTTGCTTAACACTTAATTTTTTTAAAGTTCTCACTATTATTATTACTTCATTTTTATTCTTTTAACAGCTGTGACTATGTGTTTGTTGTGAAGATGCTCTGTGTAATTGCCACATCAGAAAACCAAATCCCTGCTCAGAATCTGCTGAAAACCATATAAAACTTACTTTACATTTTAAAAAGATACATTTTGTGTTTTAGCCCTTCGACACATTTGAGTATACACCAGAAGACTGTTACATGAGACCACTGTTGTATCATCAGTACTAAGATGATTACTATTATATGTAGGTTCACTGGCATCCTGTCAATCAGTAAGAGCCTCCACCAAATTTGTGGGAGTGGAAGAACCTCCTGTCTCCATATATTATAGTCTTCCACAAATTACCTCATACAACAGTTCTTGGAAAAGATTTTTGAAAGAGAGAGGAAGGGATTTTATCTATTTATTTCATTTCTATGCTGCCTATCTCCCAATTAAGTGCCCCAAGGTGGCTCACAAATTATTAAAAAACAAATAAAGCCACTATAAATTACAACACTACAAAAGTAATTACATGTGTAACAGTATTTTTTAAAAATTAAAACCATATATAAATAAAAATAGTATCCAGGACACACACCGGTGGCAAAATCATACTTTCCAAGCCCTTTCCCTATGGTCTTTTTTTGCAAACAACCCAATATATTTGCTAGCCTGAAGAGGTGGAAGCTTAGGATCAGTCAGTCAAAGTTGGGGGAAAGGATTCTATATGCAGATTCTACATGTCAGTGCCTTGTGGTCTACTGTTTAGCATTTTGGGGGCTTCCTGCCCATGTCTTCAATCCAACACTGAAAGATATGTATGAGTGTCATCTTATTATGAGAAAGAATAGATTATTTGATTGTATGATCCATCAATTACTCGCTAGCCTAAAAAAAAGAAAAAAGAAAAAAAGGATGCTGCTTATACAGTATGCCAACCCGTACTGCTTAAAGCTCTCTCTGCGCACTTACAATTTAATTATGCAGCTTAACTGATTAAATATTGCAAAACACTGGCATGACTTAGATGTTACATGATTCTGTGCTTTCTCCCAACAGGCACAACCTATTAATATTCAAGGTATCTGTAACTATTTACCTCCTGCGCCTGATGATAACAGGATTCTCAAGCAGCTCATCAGCAGTAGGCCTCTTCTCAGGATCCTGAAAGAGGTGAGTAACAGGTCATTCCCCAAGGAAAGTGGTTATTTTCCAGCAACTAAGTCTTATTGTAGATTAATTAACCAAACCCATAACTAACAACACCTGGCCTTTCTCCAACTTCTCAAAGCACAGAGAATCAATGAGTTTAAAAAGTTAGCAGAAGTTCAAGACTTTAAAGGCACTTCAAAGATAGAGGTATCTTTGCAGTTTCCAAGTTGCTGCAATTCTTGGGCAACCAAGAATACTAAGTCTGCAGAGAGCTCAAATATACAACATGCTCAGAAATGTATGTCTCCAACTATGACATTTATTCAAAACTTCTCCCCCACTTTGTTTTGAATGTGTGAGATAAAGACATCGAAGCTGAAAGAAAACTGTATCTCACCAACCTGGTCAAGACAGGAGTGCACCATCTGAATGAGCTCCTGAGAATAAACACTAGAATCAACCTCCATTGCCCGGTTCCCTTGCACAATCTTCACACAGAGGTTCAAGGGATTCTAAGAAGGAAATAGTGAAATAATCTGAGAAGGCTAAGAAACATGCCTAGGAAGACATTCTGTAGATCTGTGCTATGCCTTCTCTCACTCTGGCTGGTTCAAAAGTTACCAGTACCATCGTTCTATATGGATATGGGACATGAGCAAGGGACTTCAGAAGTATAGTGAAAAGCACTGCCATCCCTAGCCCGTTTGACTTAGAACTCTCACTGTCGTATAAGGTTAAAAACCGGATCTCTCTCTCTCTCTCTCTCTCAAACTGATGTATCCTTAAGGAAAAGTTAAGATAAAGAAAATGCATGGAACGGTAATGAGTGCCATGTTTGTACCACAAGCATAACTTACAGTTGCATCAAAAGTTCTCTTCAGCGTGAGGAGCTCAAAGGCAACACAGCCAACTGCCCAGATATCAGATTTGAAGTTGTATTTTACTCCTTGGCAGAGTTCTGGAGACATGTAGTATGGGGTTCCTACCAACTACAAAACACAACATAATGCTAAGAAATAATCCATCTGCTCCTTAATATTAAGTGGTTTAGACATAGTTCAGTGTTTCTACTGCAAATGCTGATATCATGCCATTTTATTTGGGGGGGGGAAACACCACTACCACAAATAAAAGAAGTAGAATAAAAATAACTAGAGCCTATCACATCTGTTGAACTCTTCACAACTTTGATATTTTAGTTAAACTATTTCAGTGAGATTATCTGTTTTTTTCCTCAAACAGAGATCCATGCTTACTAGACCAAATGAGAATGGATGCATGAAACAGGAACCCAAATAAAATGCAAAGAAATAAACAAAAACACAATATACAATTAATAAGACAGACAGAACAAAGTAAGTAAAATTTTCCAAGTGCATATAGAGGGGCTAAGGTAACAATCATAAACTAGTGTGTCCTATTTAAATCACAAGCTTCATCATGTTTTTTTAGAATTCAGAGTTACAATGAACCTTTGGTTAGTTTCAATTATTTCTTTCTAATCAAGCCTTGGAAATATATTCTGTTTCAAATATTATGAAACTGCATAAATATTTCTTTAAATGAAATACTGTAGTACTAATTTTAAGAACTACAAAATGCCGAGATGTCACAACATGTACGTGTCACATGAAAAAAAAATCCCAAATGATTATAACTTTCCTGAACAGGTCTGCATGCTTGTACATGGTGACTGATAACTCTCACTTCAAGCAAGAGCAGAGAAACAAACAATGCACCTTCTGTTTGTAATTCATTTGGAGTGACATTCAAACCTGGCAGGACTGAACACTCTGGCCTAGCTTTTCCCATTGGGCCAAATAAATCACCCGTGGTTGGTCTAAGGGATGTTCTTTTGCCCCACTGGAGAAAGGCAAGCCAAAATGCTAGCTCCTACTATGTTCAGATATCACAATACAACAGGAGTGGCTATGTCCATCTCCTTAAAAACGGCCTTGTGGAACACATTCAGCTCATGGGCTACAATTCAGTGGTCCCCAACCTTGAGCCTCCAGATGTTCTTGGAATACAACTCCCAGAAGCCCTCACCACCACCTCGGCTGGCCAGGATTTCTGGGAGTTGAAGTCCAAGAACATCTGGAGGCCCAAGGTTGGGGACTACTGGGCTACATTATTACCCCAAATGGACCTTCTCAACATGTTTATTCCTTCTCACAGTTCTGCCACCTTCACAGACTGATTTGTTGAGGATAGGAGATAGGGTTGCTCCCATTCTTTGGAATGCGTAGCCAGGTTGGCCCCTCCCTCTTGTCCTTCCATCACCAGGCAAAGAACCTCCTTTTCAAGCAGGATTTTAGCAACACAGGGATCTTAGAATGCTCTATTTATTTAATTTAGGAATTCTTAAATGTTTTAAATATTATTTTTAATTGTGGTTTTAATATTCATAGTGGTTTGATTGTTTTTAGCATAAATTTGATGGTGTTTTAAAAACTGTGATTATTGTACAGTTTTAATTGTTGTGAGCTGCCTTGACTCCCCTATGTGGAGAAAGGTGGCATATAAATTATATGCATGTGTGCATGCGTGCGTGCGTATGTGCGTGCGTGCGTATGTACGTACATACATACATACATGTATGTTCTATTCTGTGCTGAAGAAAGGATGGATAGAAGCCTTTTAGTTTGTTTAGCCACTTCAGTCAAGTCCTGAATAATAAGCCCATGGGTTGTCATGACAGGCAGACCAAGTCAGGAAGTGATAGCATAAAGTAAGGTCATGCTGCTGAAAACACACATCTAATTTCCAAACCAGTGAAAAGGAAAATTATTCTATCAAAATACTAAACTTGCAGACACTTACAGTTTCAGCCATGGAATACTCAGAGTTTAGCTTTTTTGCCAAGCCATAGTCACCCAGTTTTATAAGATTTACTTTGGTGAGGAAAATATTCAGTGTCTTTATATCCCTAAAGAAGAAAGAATGATTTTGATGTATTTCTTCAAATCACTGCCATACACAGGACTTTATATGGTATTATTCTGTTCTCCCCCCCCCCCCCCCCCCAATACTGTTACTCTGAAAGCAGTTAACCATCCCTCTCCATGTCTGAAGTCTTGGATTTTCACTACAAGTTCCAATAGCTAAAGCGTTTTATACCACATAAGTGTATAAGCTGTCATGTGCAGTTCTAAATGTATAATTTTATATCAACAACCTTGTTTTGATTGAAGTTAATAGCTGTCAGATACTCAGTGTGGTGTAGTGAACAGAGTGGCAAACTAGGATTCAGGAGGCCTGGATCTGAATCTTCCCTTAGCCATGGAAACCCACTTACCTTGAAATCCCTATTTGGATCACAATACATCAGTTATTATTTGAGGGCACATAACAACAACAGCAGCAACAACAATTGCTTTCTAGATTTTAGAAACGCCTAAGCTAGTATCCCTAGTTTCATAGGAAAAAAAATTATTACAGATTAGAGATAGGCACAAACCACCAAACCAGCAGTTTGTGCTAGTTTTTTTTTTGGCCAGACAGGTGTTTGGCGCTTCCTATCCCCATCTCCTCCAGCGGATGCCCGCTCAGAGGGAGATCCCAAAGGAAGCGGATCAGGGAAGCCAGGACATGGCCTCTGAGTGGGTGCCACTTAAAGAGACAGGGTTAGGAAGCGCCAAACACCTGTTCAGTTAAAAAAAAACACGGCATAAACCACCGGTTTGGCAGGTTGTGCCCATTTCTAATTAAGATGGAAGTGTGTGGCTGACCAGCATCCAACATGAATGGATAATTTATTTGCTAGTGTTCCAGCTCACATATAAAAACAAAACTATTTAATAGAAAATATCTGGCTATAAATTACAAAAATACAGTGCATGAAGTGCTCTGCATCCTCACTGGCAGAAAAAGGCCTAATTAAGTATTTTTACTGTAAAGAAAACTTAGAATCAAGACTCACTGAAGAAAACCTAGACTCAGAAAAAAATGGCACCTGGCTCCTCTATGTACATGAAAGGGAAGGGGAAAAGTTAAACCAAGACAACTGAAGAACCCATTTGGCAGAGAACAGGGCTGCAATATGATTGGTGGGAAGCAATTAAACTGCTAGATGAGAAACAGGTCAGTATATCCCAGAATGTATTTATTTATTTTGTACTCCACCTTACCACAAAAAGACAGCACTCAAGGTGGCTTACGTTTTAAAAGAAATAAAACCAAATTTAGCTAAAACTGTAATAAAATAATATATACCCATCCACCATAAAAATCAGCAAAATGCTTCAAAAACCTTAACATATCAAAGGATGCAAATTAAAAACAACTCTATAGGGCAGGTTAAACATCGAATATCTGTCTAAAAAGTAGGGGTTTTTTACTCCCTTCTTAAAAGCAGTTAAAGTACAAACAGATCATGACTCAGAAGGAATGCAAAGGCACAGGGACTCCTTATCACAGAAACTGACCTAGGTTTCATCACAGAAACTGACCAAGGTTGAAAAATCTACAAATGTGGCACTAGATCTCAGCTTAATACATAATCACAATATTAATGAACTTCAGCATTCTTATCAATTCAGGCAATTAAGAACTGAGGAACTGAAAATTTCAACAAATGGAAAGATATTTGAATAAGAGGACTGCTGGGCTTGGAAAATGCAAATAAGATTGTGAGTATGGTTTAAAAATAATAATAAAAAGCTTAAAGAAGCATTCCTTGACTTAGAAATAAAGGATTATGATGTAGACAGAGCATATAAAGCCCTGGAACTGAAACTGACAGGATCAGATAAATCACAATATGTAACTACTGCCTTCATTTCATATTTTTAAAAGCTAGTGTCATGGATCACTTAAATTAGAAAGCCCCAATCAGAAGCAATCTAAGATCCTAATATTCTAGGATCTCTCTATCAAAGCTCTAAAAAAGAGGAAAGCATTCCATTCCTACACAACACTGTTGAGAGAAGCTGGTTTTAAATATAAACGGGGCTATCCATTCAAACTCCTCATACAATCACCACTGGCCCAATACACAATCACCACTGGACAAATGATAATACTATAGAGAGCACTGAACATCTAGGTTCCATGAGAACTAGAGAAACAAATAGAAAATGATGACAACTCAGTAGCTCAAATAACCACAAATCAAAACAACTGCCAGATGACAACCCCAAAAAACATATATGACCATATGACCACCCTTTTGCAAGACAGGTGAATTCCGCCATATTGGCATGAATCACTCACTTTATGCCTTTTGAACTACCATCTTTAAGTTTACCAACACAACAGCTTTTGGGAACAGTAAGTATTATCACAACAGTGAGTGAAGCTAGAGCAACTCAACTGCAAAGTCTCACTTAAATTAATCACCTCTGCACCTTATATTTTGCTGGAAAGCAGCATGCATGAAGAGATCACAAAGAACCTTGTTCTCACTGCTAAGTTGAGGTATACAACCTGTTATGTTGTTTGTTGTTTTGTTGACTGTTAAATGACAATGGGTAGAAAGTATGTTTAGCTCAGTATTTAAGCATGTTAGATACACCAGAGAACAAATAATCTCTCTCCAAGTTGCTGGAAACCATGCATTCTGGTATGCAAATGACAGGCAAAATTAGAGTTATTTTGCTAAATGTCAGTGGGCTGGGAAACGTCATTAAATACTATCCTTTCTATAAATTTGTAATGTATCTGCAACCTGATACAGGTTTTAGAAACATATCAAAAGAAAAAAGGTGAACAAGATATTATCTTATCTTTTCATTGGCAAGCAGTATTCTGCAGGAGGAAGTTCTAAGAGAAGAGGAGTATTATCACAAAAACATACCTTTTTAAAACTGAAGCAATAAGGATGGTCAAAAAAGTAATAGAAAATGTTAAAAACTCAGTAACACTATTTTATAAAGAAAACTCTATTCCTGGGATCAGTCAAGTACTACTATGGAAATTAGAAGGTAATACTGTACTAAGAGGCCAGTTTAGAATCAAAATATCCCACTACAAAAAGAAAATGAAGAAATGGCAGACAGCGTTAGAAACATTTGTATGTGTAAAGGAGGAAAAACCAAGATAAGAAAAAAATTAAATTAAAATACTTTTTCAAAAATAATATGAAGCTCAAAAAGTAAAGGAGGATTTTCAATAAACTGCCTTGATAGCTACTATGCATCATTTAAATTAAAAACGCTTATAGAAATTATCAGAAGTTATGGCACAGTATCCTCTCTATATAGAAATAAGTCAAACAAATATTTCCCAATATTTGGAACTCAGAAGATTTGAGCAAACAAAACTTAGAACTAATATCTAACCCATATCTTAAGAACACATTATGCCTATGGAAATTATGACTGAAAAAATTAGCTCCCACTCTTTCTCCTATCTGCCAATTTATGAAGCACCCTGGATTTCACCAACTAGGCAGAACTGCAAAGAACAAGAAATAGAAAGCTAGGAAAATACACTACATTGTCTGTAATCCTGTTGGTGTTGAGTTATGCCATCAATCTCCAGTGATGTGATTAGCTGTGATCATGCCATGGACTAGAGGGAGCTATTTTCCAACTTTGAACCATTCCCTAACCCATTCTGCAGCTCTGGAAGGCTTCCTAAAATGAAAGAGATGCCTAGGCATCCCTGGAACATCACTGGGGATGGGGGAACAGAATAGAAAGCTTTTAATTTCTCAAAATAACCACAGCCATAATGAAAAAACACACAAAGGTTACTTGCTTTCCTACCAGTAAGTGGCTTTATTAAGCACCCACCTGTGAAGGATTCCTTCCCTATGGATACAGCTTACTGCTGATGCAATCTGAAAGAGGTACCACACCACCATCTGCACAGAAATGGAGTTCATATATAAGTAAGACATACTCCTTTCCTCAAAAACAGAATACAGAAAATATTTTATCTGAAACACTTTTTGAAAGAGGACTTTGTTGTTTCCTTAGGATCCTGTTAGTACTAAGAATTTTTTCAAGAGACAGTATTTCCAAGATCTTCAAGGTGCAGAGTGATGTGCTTAAAAAACAGGCAATTTATTACTAGGAATGACTGGGATACTTCCAAGCTATAATGGAAGATCAGGAAGACTTTTATAACCCTTAATCTGATGTCTTAACTGTCATAAAAAGGTAAAGGTAAAGGTTCCCCTTGACAATTTTTGTCCAGTCGTTTTTGACTCAAGGGGGTGGTGCTCATCCCCGTTTCCAGGCCATAGAGCCAGCGTTTTTGTCCGAAGACAATCTTCCGTGGTCACATGGCCAGTGCGACTTAGACACGGAACACTGTTACCTTCCCACCGAGGTGGTCCCTATTTATCTACTTGCATTTGCATGCTTTCGAACCGCTAGGTTGGTGGGAGCTGGGACAAGCAACAGGCGCTCACTCTGTTGCGTGGATTCGATCTTACGACTGCTTGGTCTTCTATCCCTGCAGCACAAGCTTCTGCGGTTTAGCCCGCAGCGCCACCACGTCCCGTCCTTAACTGTCATACCACAATTCAGACTTGTAAATGAGTGTTGTAAGCCAGAGATGGAGAATATGCAACTCCCATCATCCTTCAACAATGGCTATGTTAACTAGAGCTGATTGAAGTTGCAGTCTTACAACATTTCCTCTATTTCTACTATAGGCACAGTCTCTAGAATTCTGAGCTTTCAAATCCCAAATTTCACAAACACTAGACTCATATTGCATAACAGCAATAAACTATGCAAAAATATTAGAGAATATTCACAATGCATGACCACACTTTTAGTCATGAAACAGGGGTTGGTTTGTTTTTTGCTTTTGTCTAGTTTCACCTTCCTTTTCCTTCCCATTTTATTGTTTATTGTTTAATGTTTATTGTTTAATTGTCTATTCCTGGATACTTTTATTTCTTTTTTTTTTGTTATATGTACGTGTGTTTATATTTTTATCTGTCTGGATGCCATCTAGAGTGGTCGTTTTGACCAGATAGGCGGGGTACAAATGAATGAATGAATGAATGAATGAATGAATGAATGAATAAATAAATAAATAAATAAATAAATAATGCCCTCCAAAATATCCAAGACAAATGCAATGGATATGCAGAGTGCTGCAGGGAGATACAGATTGGTTTAGGAAGCAAGAGCAGGGGAATGAGAGGAAGTATGAAAAGATGTAAAATATAAAGTGTTTTACAAGAAAGATGACCATAGGTAGGCTGTCCTAAGGTATGAATTCTTTACCAATTGAGAATCTGTGGAGTTTTTTAATACCAGCCAAATAAAGCATAATGATGAAAGACAGCTTTATTTATTTATTTATTTATTTATTTATTTATTTATTTATTCATTCATTCATTCATTCATTCATTCATTCATTCATTCATTCATTCATTCGATTTATACCCCGCCCATCTGGTCTAAAAGACCACTCTATGAAGATTGGGCCTCTCTTCTTTCATGAGAATACTGAACAGTCCCTGCAGTATGAACATCCTGAAAGTATGTAAAGTGAGCATGTTGTAGATGTTTCATATATACTCCTTGTGTTAGACATTCTTTGATACTGGAAGGCAATCAAAGTGAAGTTTTCACATATTTATTCACGCTACATGAATAATGATTTAGGATCAAAGTGTTCCACTCAAGATTAGGATCTCAAAGAAAAGGTTTCCTGTTTCCTCCCAGCTGGCACAGGTGATGTTGTTTACTCAATGGCAACAAACATGAAATGGTACTATGATAACTAATAACTAAACTCCTGTGACATTGCTTCTCAAATTTTTCAAGTTACCTCTTCCTCAAATAATTTGTCCTTCTGTCGCAGAATCTTATCATAAAGGTTTCCCCCTAAAATGAAGAGACAGAAATGTTTAGCTTTTGATTGTAGGGGTTTTGCATGTTTTTTAAAGGTAAAGGTTCCCCTTGACAATTTTTGTCCAGTCGTGTTCGACTCTAGGGGGCGGTGCTCATCCCCGTTTCCAAGCCATAGAGCCAGCGTTTGTCCGAAGACAATCTTCCGTGGTCACATGGCCAGTGCGACTTAGACACGGAACGCTGTTACCTTCCCACTGAAGTGGTCCTTATTTATCTACTTGCATTTGCATGCTTTCGAACCGCTAGGTTGGCGGGAGCTGGGACAAGCGACGGGAGCTCACTCCGTCACATGGATTCGATCTTACGACTGCTTGGTCTTCTGACCCTGCAGCACAGGCTTCTGCGGTTTAGCCCACAGCGCCACCAGTTACGGACGGCATGTTTTTTAGATAGCAGCTTATAGTATGATAAACATTTTCATGGAAAAAGACAGTCCCTCTTCTCCACTAATAGCTAATGTAACCCACACTGAACCCAACAGACATTGTAACCAAGAGTAAATAATATCAATTATTATAAACAATTGTTTATTTAGTAAAAGCAGTATCTCTCAGTCTTGCAAGACTGGTCTTCCAATACTTGCAAAACTTTTTCTTCAGAACGCACACATATCACTTACATAAAAGTTACACTCTTTTTCAGATGGCAATTCAAATGCCAACTTAATAACAATTTTATAAATGTATTAAGTGGAGTTTGTACCATTGGTTAGGAAGTCTACACAGTGAATATATACATACATATACATACATACATACATACATACATATACATATACATATACATATATATATATATACACACACACACACATACATATATATACATACATATACATATATATGTATGTATATGTATGTGTATATATATGTATGTGTATATATATGTATATGTATGTATATATATATGTATATGTATGTATATATATGTATATATATGCATGCATACATACATACACACACATATATATATACTCACATATATATATATACACATATATATACACACATATATAAAAAATAAATAAAACAAATTTTGAATCAACAAGGAAAAAACTTGGAAAAAATACCAGGTGAACTTCAAATATAGCAGCTGTGTCACATATTCCATGTTCTTTTCAGTTATCTTTGAGATTTGCCAAAAGTCCCTGATCACTAAATGAAGCAACTAAATGTAAGGCTGAACATGGTGTTGACAATCCCAGCAATGTCCAGCTCTAGAACTTAAATAAATATAGATTATGTGTTTTTCAAAATGTTACTAAAACTCATTTTATTTCTACCTGGTTCATTGCAAACCTAGCCCTTCATTTTTATTTTGGTTAGTTCTGCTGTACATTTTTAATTCTATCAAGTACTATATGTTGTTTATAGATCTGTGAAATATAAATGGCAGTCTCCAAGAGGAGTCTGCTTTGTGTTTCTAGACCTGTCGCTACAGACATGTATCTATAAACAAGACAAGACTCTGTGTTTCATCTTTTCCCAAGATGGAAGTGGGTTCCCAATGTTTATAAAAGAGCTCTCACCATTACAATATTCCAGTTCAATCAGCAGTGTGTTGTTGTCCATGAAATGATTGTAATAGGCAATGATGTTATCATGCTGCAACAAAGCAAGGATAACAATCTCGTTCAGAGCATCACGGCGTTCTTTTTCTGATAGTCTGGTAAGATCCACTTCTTTCCATACTACAAGTGAATCATCCTGGAATATAAGAAATCTAGTTAGTTAAGTGTATTCTTGCATATCTTGTCCCGTAAGGTTTAATATTCATTCTTCAGGTAAGTTTTTTTTTTATTGTATTCACTTTCTGGTTCATCCAAAGGTAAAGGTAAAGGATCCCCTTGACAAATTGTCCAGTTGTGTCCGACTTCTAGGCCGCGGTGCCCATCCCCCTTTCCAAGCCGTAGACCCAGCGTTTGTCCGAAGACAGTTTCCATGGACATGTGGCCAGTGCGACTAGACATGGAATGCTGTTACCTTCCCACCATGGTGGTACCTATTTATCTACTGGCATTTTTACATGCTTTCGAACTGCTAGGTTGGCAGGAGCTGGGACAAGTGATGGGAGCTCACTCCGTCACATAGATTCAAACTGCTGATCTTTCAACCTTGCAGCCCAGAGGCTTTGCAGTTTAACCCACAGCGCCACCACATCCCATTCATCCAAAATTGTCTAAAGAATTAAAATGAAGCTTCCCTATTTTTTAATGCCAGGTGTCAGTATCTGCCACTAATACTTTCTTCCTTTCAAATAATTTTATCAAACATCAAATGTTTTTCAGAAGAAGGACAGTGTTTTCATTTCACAAACAACTCCATCTAAGCAAAGTCCATAGTCCATAACAAGTATTGATTAGCTCATAGGAAATGTCAGATATTCATTCACAGCATTTTCTAGAAAAAAGGCATACAAATAGGGGAGTATTTGGTATTAATATTTCATCCTTCAAGTCAGGATTTTAAGGTCATTATTATTTTAGCCAGCCACTCTATTAGGTGAATTATTTTAAGTGCGGCCTCAGAGATCTTCAGCTTCTCTTCATGTCCTGTTAGACACCATTGTTTAAGGTTAGATACTTCAAAGTCTCTTTCCACTATAGGAAATCCAAGTATTAAGTAATAATAAACAGAAATGTATGACACAAAGCAGCAATAAGAGATTTGCCTGGAATTATTTAATTCATGTAAACTGCTCTGAGAAGTGATCTTACTAAATCTCATGGTAAGGAAGCGATTTTCATAAAAAATAAATAAATAGTGCACAAATGAGAGTACATGTTGCATAATTTGTAAAACAGTTCTACCTCTGCCTCCAAAAACAGTAGTTAATTATTTGTGGTCCTTTAAATTAGCTAGGCCCCGATAATCATTTTTCTCATCTCAGAAAAATAATGAGATGAAGTCCAAATAGCACGTACATTTTTTTAAGATTCCCCAAGATTATAATGCTGGCTGGATAGCTCAGCGGTTTAGCTATCTGGCTGCGGAGCTAGAGGCTAGGAGTTCTACTCATGTGAGTAGACCCAGCCTGTGTGGCCTTGGGCTCTACTTAAGCTGCACAGTCCCAGGATGCCCCCAGAAGAAGGGAATGGTAAACCACTTCTAAGTACTGTATTAATTACCTGGAACACCCTGAAAAAGTTTGCCATGTCAGAATTGACTTGACAGCACATGATGATGATAGTATCTCTGGGTGACACATGAAAACCTGCCTAATGATCTACCATGTTTTCCCGAAAATAAGACAGGGTTTTATATTAATTTTTGCTACAAAATGAATTGGGGCTTATTTTCAGGGGCTTATTTTTGTGTAGGGCTTATATTACGAGCATCCTGAAAAATCATACTATGCCTTATTTTCAGGTAAGGTCTTATTTTCAGGGAAACAGGGTATCTAAGATGCACTTCTTAAGAATTCTCCTAGTTTTATTATAGCAGCTTTTCTTATCAGCCTCTATAAATTTGAAAGTGATATGCCTGCAAATCCTTGCAGAAATATGATGCAATGCTACCTCTGCCTTCTTTTTCTCCTGTTTCTCATCCTGTCATTCCTTTTCTGCCTCTAAAGGAAGCTAATACAAAATAAACAAGACATCTACATTCTTATGCAATAATTCACTTTCAAACACTCAAACTGTGCAGTCTTCAATTGCCAAACTAGAACTGGAAATTATTAATTGGCAAAAGGGGAATTTTCTTTTATACTTACCATACTGAACAGCAGCTTTGACGGCAATTTTTAGTCTGAATCACAGTGAAGGAGCAAAAAGTTACCACAGCAGCTATTTACAGTTTAAAAAGTCATCCACACAAGTTGATGAGACTCATTTACAACATGTGTGAAAAAAGCAATCAAGTGAATCTCATCAAATTCAAATAAACGAACAATATACAGTATACTCCTCTATTCTCTATAAGCAGAAGCCTTCTAAGCCAAGTATTAGTTTAACATGATAAATACCACCATTATCTGGGTTTTATTAAAATACTGTATACCATAAATATGTCTCTTCTTCAGGAATCATGGACTGTTAACTTCTACTGCTTGCTTTCCACAGTCACTTTTGTCACTTGCAAGTCCTATGTATATCTCATATCTTCCATTTGAAATCAATCCCTTTGAATGTGTATTCAGAATGTATGGCTTCTCTCCATTCATATATCTCTGCACAGTCCCAGAAAATGCTAGCAGTGATTTATCTGTTACCACCACCAAGTATTCTGGGGTTCTTCTACTGCTGGCCACTAATCTATCTCCTCCCTCTACACAGTGACAGTCTGAGTAAAACTTGTCATGAGCTACCCCAGGGCCCAGGGTTGTCTGTCTGTCTGCCTACTGTTGTCACTAGTAATACTGAGGGCCTCATAGCTACTATCAGCTGTGCATCATTCTGCTCACCATATATGTCACTGCCATTGCTGTGCTGGCATATGCCATAGATTTTTTTTAAAAAAAAACCAACACATTTTCTCAATCAAAATAAAATGCACGCTGTTTTGCTATTTAAACTTGCAAAAATGGAAACCTGCTTAGAACCCTTCTCTGTCCGTAAACCTGAAAAGTGCAGCACTACTTCCAGACTTTCTCTCTTTCTGGTAAACTGCTGTTATAAATACTTGTATTTTGTTTACTGGTATCAGAAGAACCATAGATTTGAAGTAATTTCCTTCCCCTTGGAGTATATTAGATCTATTAAGACTACATGAATGGTATAAAAGGGGGATGAGGCTTCAAATAAAAGATGGCTAAGCTGAAGGTCCATGGTGTGGGGTATTGTTTTTCATGTGATTGCTGGAAACTTTTAATCTAGAACACAGAACTGGAAAGATGAGATGAACTCCCTGGGTCATCAAGTCTAACCTCTCATCAAGGCAAGACATTTAGAACTAAGGCACCCCTGACAGATGGCCATCCAGCCACATTTTAAAATCTAAATTGAAGTACAGTAGGTCTGCCATCCTGCTCCAAATAAATGAATTTTAAATCAGTATTTTCCAACCGGCTGGTCATGACCCCCAAGAGAGTCACACAGTGTTTTCTATGTGCCATTGGTCATCTTATATATGTTGTAGCCCTTGGTAAATAATTGCTTCCTTGACCTTTTGGAGTGAGATGTTAAAGTTGTGTATATGTATGTAAGAGAAACAGGCCCTTTAAGGCAGGGGTCTCAAACATGCGGCCTGGGGGCCATTTGCGGTCCGCTGGATGATAGTTTGTGGCCCCTGCCTTGCCTGGCCCCCTGAAGTGCCCACATGTCCTCTGCTGTCAAGAGTCAAAAAAAGTCTCGCCTCGCTCGCCGGTTGTCTCCCAAGACAGCCCCTCTTGCACTCTCCATCAAGAACTGCAGCCTGCCAGCCAGCCCGCCTGTCTGCCAGTTGGCAAGCTGCAGTTCCAGATGGAGGGTGCAAGAGGCCCTGTCTTGGGGGAGAGCTGGCAAGCGAGGAATGCTGCTGGCCATTTTCCCCGAGTGCCCTAGCCGCCACCAAGCAATGCCTGAGAGCGGAGCTCCCTCCCGGCCCGTCCTTGAAGAGCGCCTCCAAGCCGCCAACAGCAGTGCCGCTGCCGCCTCTTCCAGGGAAGCGGCTCTCTGGCTCTCTTTCTCTCTCGGCACCCCCAGCACCAGCCCAGCCAGTGCCCGTCAGTGCTTTCTCCTCCTCCTCCTCGCAAAGTTTGCTCCTCTGTTGTGGTAGGGGTAGCTGCTGCTGAGTGCGCCTTTTTTTGAGGGGGGACCCTCAGAGGAAGATTGCTGGACCTCCGTGTGTGTGTGCGTGCGTGTGTGTGTGTGCGTGCGTGCGTGCGTGCGTGCGCGCACACACACACACCCCTGTGGCGCCCCCAAGGCAATTCTATGAGGGTTTTTTTAAATTTTACAGTATATTGTGCCCTCCTCCCCCTCTCGCTAGGCGGTTGCCGGCACTCCCTCCCTTCTCCGCTTCGTTCTGCCGCTGCTGGTGCTGGTGGTGGTAGTGAAGAAGGAGCCGGAGGGGCAAGGGCTCACGCGCCCCTCCTCCTCCTCGGAGCGCCAGCCGGGCTAAAGAAACTTCTGGGCGGCTTCCTCAGGCTCTTGCTCCACTTGGCGGAAAATCTGATGCGGCCCAGCCTCACCCAGACTCTGCCTCCAGCGGCCCCCAGGTAAATTGAGTTTGAGATCCCTGCTTTAAGGGAAAAAGAAGCCTCCACTTTCTGAGAAGGGATGGCTTTGCCTCATTAAAAATGCCTTTTCATGCAAATATGGCAGGGGGGTGTCACAGGTTAACTTTACTATTATAAAAAGCGGTTGCGACTCAAAAAGATTGGTAACCACTGTTTTCAATATTGTGTTAGGGAACATTACACTTCTGGGTTGGCAGCTGAATATCCTCTCCCAGTAATAGATCAGAACAGGAGAAGGGACAAGGTCAAATCCCTCCTCAGGTAGGAAGCTGAACGGGCGACTTTTGGCCTATTAGCGTCTCAGTCTGAGATATTTCATAGCACTATTGTGAAGATAAAAAGGCAGGAATGCAAGAGTGAAACAGAGAAATAGCAGTATGGCATCCCAAAATTATTGCATTCCTACAGTACAGTACAATTATTGCATTCCTTCGCGAATACATTCCTACAGTACCTTTAACTGAAATAAAGTGTTTTGTGCTACCTTGAAAAAATTTATGCTTAATAGAATATTTTAGCGGCACAAGACACTTTGTCATTTCTGTTGTCCCAGACCATTGTGGTTTAATTTAATCACCTGAATAGCAATGTTTAAAGTCAGCAAGAGAAGCACTGCTCCATCTCTGCTTGGGAAATAGTCATGCTGCTCAACCACTGAGGCAAGAAGATGTTTACAACCCTTGGAAATGACAGGACTGAACCTGAGCCAGGATTAACCTGGGTTTTGCCTTGGTAGGAACTTTACATATTTAGCTCCAGAATGTGTAAAAATATGGCAATGTACACAGTTGTTCTTTTAGCATACAGAAGAATATCTTCCTTTTCCTCACATGGTATTACAGTGAGGCAGCAAGATTTGCAAAGGGAAGACAGGTCTAGATAGGAATTTGGCAGCATTATCCAGAGTGTTTACTCGGAAATCAATCCCATCCTGTTCAATGCTGCTTCTTCCCAAGCAGTCCCGTGAAAGATTGCAGCCAATGCATTTTCCCCGATTTGTTTCACAATTGTCCTTGTCCGACATGGCAGCACATCTAGGATTTTGCTAGGGTTAAGAGGGTCCAATTCCCCTCTTGGGTACCACGGCCCATAAAAAAATGTTGGTCCTCGTGCCGCCTAATGTCATCATCATTCAAGTCTTCCTGGGTCACACCGCGGTGAGAGATAAAGGAGACTCGGCAGACACCTTAAAATAAACGCGCTTTTATAAAATCAGGAGGAGAAAAGAGCTGCCCGACAGGAGCAGATTTACCTCAGTCCGGCGGTACAAGGTGGCCTCCCCAAAAGCCCCCCGGCCCAGGACGCGGATGGGAGCGTAATGCAACTCCTCCTGCTCGCCGGCCAGGACAGGACCAGGCCGGGGGCCGCTCCTGCTGGACGAGTCGTTGTCGAAGTCGGAGTTGATGGAGTCACAGTGTCTCTCGTACTGGTCCAAAGACATGGCTGCTCCGCTCCGCTCCTCTGCCTGGGGCTGAGGCAGGGAGCGCCTGAGGCAGGGGACTCAGGGGGCCGACCGGGCAGGGATCGAGATAAGCCGCGGCCCCGGGACGATGGGCAGCTTCCTGCTGTTGCCTCAGACGCCACCGCCGCCGCCGCCGCCACCACACAGGCAGATGGGGCTCCCGTTGTGCGCAGGCGCGCCCCCCTCTCCCGGCCTCAGCCCAGAAAGCAACAGGGTCTCCCCCACCCGCACTGCCCCCTTCACGGGCCTCCTCGAGGCCCCGCACCCCCCAAACGCTCCATGTCGGCGGCTTCTTCTTCTGACCCGGAACCACTTCAGCCCGCCGCGTTCCCGCTGTCCGGCGGGCACCCGCACAACCGGGGGTGGAG